GTAAAAAAAAAAGAGGCGTAGAGAATTGATATGAGTTTGGGAGCTATTCTGATGTTTATTCGTTTATTAATCGATAGCCGTGGTATTGGTCTCGATAATAGAATTGGAAATAAAACCACTGCGAGCGAATAAAATGTGTGAAAAAATAAGGGCGTTTTAGTGAAGCAGACTTTTATGGCGTTCGAATTTCCACCATTCGCGGGCTGGTATAAGTTTATTTTACAGATTCGTCGCGCGCGCGGAAAAACCGGGCGAAAATACAACGAACGTTTATCGCGAATATTACATCATATAGAAACATGGGATATTAAATTTTCCACTTAACAGCATTCGCTCTTTATCGTTTATTTTTTGGTTGACGTTTGGTGTGCATTTTTGAAGAACGGATATACACGTACATATGTATAAATATGGTAGAACGTATCGACGAGCGTGATTTAACTTCTTCCATATTTCACATCCTCTAATATCGATAAATAAATCGCGGCTTTAACGCGCCAATATTTTGTCAAACTTTAACAACGGCGCTCGCAATTTTCGATAAAATAATGCACAAACGGAGCTGGGCTTTTCACCAAATTGTAAATCACTCTTTGGAATAATTTTATCATGCTGTCAATCGCGAGTCCACGATTTTTTTCAATCGCGTACATCCGGTTGCCTATTGGAAAATATCAGCCGTTAATGCTACAAATTAAACTGCTATCAAATAGAGAATATGAAAAAAAATGGCAAAGTGAATGATAAGCTTGCGAATTCTCAAAAGTTTTCATGCGTTAACTTATCGCGAACAGGTCGAACTGGAAACGAACGTAAAAGAAAAGGAAGAGGAACCGAAGCGAGGGTCCTCGGTTCGTTCGACGGGCTGGGAATAAGGAGTTTATTTTCGGTGGCCATATGCGCGGTTTATTTCGACAGTCCGCGCGGCCACCCCTAAATAGAGGTAGGGCTCTCTCAGCTCCAACGAAAACGTATTCGGTGGTCGAGCCACTCTATCTCCCGTTTTTGTCATCTTCGACGCAGTGCTCGCTAGTAAAAACCATGTTATCAGTAACAACATGACTAACGCGCTTGTAACATAACTTATGTAACCTAATAGATATCTGAATTTTTACTCAAGTATATTTCAGATCTCAATAAATAATATTTTCAACTGTATAAGAAATGTGCACGATTCAAGTCTGAGGTTCAGAATCCGCGGGCATTATCTGACCCAGATAAAACTCGACATTACCTCATATTATCACATTATTTAATCTATAGATATTTGCCAACCGCACGCAGCTTCGTTAATGATCATTCGCTTCATTGGTTTTCGATCACGATCATTACCATCATTGCCGGTTATTATTTCCTCAGAGAATGAGCATGATCGTCCGCCGCGGGCCCTTGAACTACGCTCGTACATATTTATAGAGACGGAGGAACGAATCGGCGTGTATAATTAACCATTCTTCGATTCCTCCTCGGGCGTAAATGAAAGATGACGTGGCGAGAGAGGAGACTTTCGCTTTGCGTTCCAATACGTTACACACCGTTATCATTGAAAAGGGATAGAGAATGAGAGAGATAGAGAGGAGGTCGTTTCCCCAATGGCGACAGCCATTTCGCGTTCCGCCCGCGCCCTCTCGAAATAGCATATAGTCAGACCGACGTGAGATTTCGCTTATTCCTGACCCACCGGCTAAGTATAACCCGTGACAGCTCGAAGGAAAGAAATAGCCTTACGCGCGGGAAGAAAGAGAGGAAACCCTTCGCTCCGCGAGGAGAGAGGAACCTCTCGTCGCGCGCGTCTCCGACGTTCCCGGAGCGTACGCGCGGGGACGTAAACGTATAATTGGCTGCACTTAAATCTCTATAACGCGGCAGTAAAAATGCACGGTGCACCGCGTAAATCAACACGGGGACGATATGGCTCCCACCCCCTCTCGGGTTTTTGGTATGTGCTGCCACGCAGCCTCCTCCTCCTCCTCCTCCTCCTCCTCCTCTCTGTCGCTCGTAAACGCGTCGCATCGCGGAGACCGCGTGCACACGCACGTGTGTGCGACGCGCACCGGCCCGCACGCCGCCGACAATTTTCGCGACTTTCCGCACCGGAATTTATCGCCACGTTAAATTTCAACCCCGATGCCTGGCCGCATTCCGCTCCGACTCGGTCATGCGACGAGGCGATTGTTTCTGTTAACGAATGGTCTTTAAGGTAAAGAGAGCGATGATAAATAGAGAAGTAACAGTGAAACGAGACTGATTTTATTGAGAAATATGGCTGCATTTATAAATTGGCTGCATTTATAAACTATGTTAAGAGAACATTTACTGCTGTTTCTAAAGATTTTCATGATTCTCTCTGATTTATTCTATTATATCGCTGATTGATTATATGACTGACAAGAAATTAGGAATTGGATTAAACGGGATTGACTTTTAAACAACAGCAGATGTTTTCTCGTTTCACGCGCCACATTCATTTCTGAAAACAATCTACAAGAAACGGTATCTCCTTAGCGGCGTGTCTAGTTCACGGCGTTCGTCTTCCGTTTCTTGCCGCGTTTCGCGTTATGGGAAGAGTCGTTTTTCGGCGGGACTCGGTACCTCTCCTCCCCCCACTCTCGGTCTCTCTCACTCGCGGAAATGAGAAATTCCTGACGAGCGGGAACGGAGAACGGCTTCTTGGACCGATACGTCAGGGCACGGTAACGGCGCGCACGATGGCCACGCTACATTAACTCGATTCACCGAGTAAATTAACTGCAATCAGGGGGACGGTCCGGTGGCCATTCCGTTATTCCGCTAGCCGGCTGCCGGCCGTTCCGCACGCCTCTAGACCGCTCTATTCGAGCTTGGCTTCCATTAAGCCCTCCGTGCGCCTGAACAACGGACGCTCGACGACGAGAGAACAGATCTAACGTCGTTTTTTGTTACTTGCCAGCTACGCGAAGACCACCGCAAAATGATCCTCTCCTCTCCTCTCTCTCTCTCTCTCTCTCGCCCCGTTCCTCTTTCTTGTTCACTGAACGAAAACAAGAGTAGGAGACGGATCGACGCCAAGACTCCTGGCTCCTTGTGAATCCGACTGTGAGGATTATACGCGGGATGACGTGATTCCTTACCAGTTATCCAACGATAGCATAGGTCTGGTCATTTTATTTGCATACTGATTTTTATAACAGCATTGAACATCTTATTCGATCTCCGATCTCAAAATTTGAGCATTTTGTAATCTTGATCGCTTCTGTCTATCACGTTTAAGGATGCATTGTATGTAATCAGACGTCGCAAGAATAATGCTAATAATAAATAGCTACGTGCTAAAAAGTATAGAAGGAGATATCCAATNGTTTATTATTAGCAATATTCTTCCGACGTCTGATTTCTTTTTAAAAATGCGTTTCTAAAGTGCATAAACCTTTGGGATTGACTGTATAGCCAATACATCCTTAATCGAACATTCAAGCGGACCCCTCTGTTATTTCAAGATATACGGAACGCTTGTCAGATTCGGAATATCGTCGTCGGAGTGGCGGGTGGTCGACGAACTCTGATCGAAGTCGATCGTTTCTCTCTTCTCCCTGTTTTCATCCGCCCCTGTCGCGGGGGTGGAACGTCGCGCGCGGCTCCGATTTCCATCGATCTCCCGCCGCGTTCCGGTCCGCTCGACAAATTTTTCGCCGACCGGTCGCCCGTTTCGCCTCGAACGAATTCAAAGTTAATCTCGGCCACGAGACCGCTTCTTCCCGGTGCGGCGCGGCGCCCCCGGGCGACCTGTCATCGTGAAACCCCTGGGAGCGGCCACGGGCTCACCCTGATCTCTCTGTTACGATAGAACCGCCGGGAACCGGAGCCTTGCCCGGCACGATAAGGCTACGGTCATTTATAATCCGTCGGCGTGAGTAGCCCCTTCCCGATTCTCCTTCCGAGTGTGGCTAAGGAATAAAACGAGCCTCGGACTTCCGCTCGTTCCAAACAGGATCGATCCGCACGCTTGCTGAATTCCGATGATCGCGTTTCTGCTTCCGCTCCGATCGATCCGTGCACTAGTTTTTATTCCAGGTACACTACTTACTGTATTAACTGTACAAGTTCGGAGAGAAACAATTCTAAAAGTAAAAGCGAACGACGTTCGAATATAGCTGTCTGACGAGGAAGTTCTCGTTCTACTAACTACGGTCGAAGAAACTTGCATGCTTCCCGATTCAAACTGTAAGAAAGTAATAATAATGTATGGATTCTCTGCGAGAATGAACATTTTTTCTAAGCCTTTAACGTCAGCGAAGACCATCAACTCTTAATTAATGCGGAAGAAATGGATCTGATGGTGAAAGTGGGGGGAAAAAGTTGGAAAGGGGCGCCTGGAAATGGCTCCGGTCCGATAATTTATAAAAATGATATTTGCCCCGGTAGAGCGTGACCGTAAGCCGTCTTAATATCTCTCATTACCGTCTCGCTGCTCGGGTCCCCGGTGACCATGCAATTAAAAAGCTAAGATTGATAAATGACGGGGAATTAATGCGGTCGGGGGATGAAAGCGAGGGGCGAACGGAAAACGGAATCGGGGCCACGGACGTTTACGGGGGGGGGTTCGGTCCAGCAGGGAGAGGCGCGGAGGGTGATTGCGGGTGGCTTAATGGTGTTTGTATGCATGGGAACCAGCCACGGGGGTCGAAGCAGTTATCGCTCTCTCGGTCTACTCTGCGTCGAAAATCGGTACCGTTTAAAATGTTGGAAAATCTCGCCCTTAGACATGACCCGTTCTCATATCCTTGCCAATGATTTTTCATCAGATTTATTTGAGAAATGTTGTTCGCTATCGCGACCGTGAAATCGATCGACTCGGTCACTGTGATACGGTTTATATTAAATTGTGCGAATTTAATTACGCGTGTAATTGATTCGAGATAAATTCAATGATACCTGGTTTTATAGTTGTGACAAGAAGTGCAGTTTTAATAGTGTCGCAATTGGATTTTTTAACGAGGTTTTGTTTCCTGTTTTGATTACAGGTGACGCGAGTAATGCGAGTATCGGTAGCGGCGAGGGCACCGGGGAGGAAGACGACGATTCGACGGGTAAGAAGAATCAGAAGAAGAGGGGTATATTCCCGAAGGTCGCAACCAACATCCTCAGGGCGTGGCTGTTTCAACACCTCACGGTAAGTGTCTTGCATGCGTCTTTTGTGGTGTCGCGCTTTCAGGCGACGAAGCTTTGCTCTGGGCGCGTCGTTCTTGTCAACGACCTATGTGCCGACTGTCTTCCCGATGAGACGGGACGCACGAAAAACACGAAATCAACCGGCGTACCCGTTGCGAAATGTTTTCCAACGATTATTCACTTATCAAGCGACGCTTGAAACCGAGAACCGAAGACAAACGAGCGCGACGTAGCGACGCGGCAAAAAGGGAAACATTTCCTAAATTGCTTTTACCCCGGGCTGCGAGTTAAGCTCCGGAAACGAAAAAGAAAGCGAGAGAGAGGGACAGGCCGGAGGGAAGGAAAGAACCGAGCGAAGACGGAAAAAGCGCGGCTCGGAGGAGGGTAGGGGAACACTAATCTCCTAATGCCAAGATAAGGAGGCACGATGCTTCCTACTTTCGGCTATCTAATGATTCACGGGTAATCTGAGTCGGAAAAAGAGCAACGCGATTAAAGGGACGGGAGCACGGGCTGAGTGTTTTGCGTTGCGTTGCGGTTGCGTAACGTTTCGCGCGGGCAATTCGGAGCACGGTACATAGTCTCTCATACTACGGACACCCCATAGATTTCGGGTATGATCAGGTTACCTTGCGAGAGCGGTAATCATATTGCAGCTCGGTTAATGCCATTACCGCACCAAGGGGGACGGGTAGGGGCGCAGGTTTGGCAACCACCCTCGAAACCAGCCCGCAACCAGCAAACGCCCGCTCGCACCCCGCTTTCTCCGTGCTTCCACGGCGAGAACCGGCTTCAGCGACCCCCTCCCTAACAACGTGTATTGGATATGACGTCGGGGATAGTGGGTTCATGGTTTAATGCATATACGCTGTTTGCGCGATGACGATATCGTGCTCTCGTGAAAAGACGAGCTCCGCTCCAATATACACGTACACCAGCTACACGCGTGTACGTACCTTCCTCTCGTACGGCTCGTCGTATCCGCGGCGACTTGTTTCGAATCTGCTCCCATGAGTGAACACGGGAAATATATTTCATTTCTTAATTCGTTTAATTTAATTTGCAAATGATACAAGATTGTATTTGTAAAGAGATTTTCTGATATCGGATCTATAATCAATTTAATTATTGTGAACATGAATTCGCGTGGAAATGTTGCACAGAGTTAGGAACAATTACGAGGTAGAAAAAGGCGCGTTATCCACCGGCCGATTCATGAACCGCGCGTTATTGCGGCATACTGCATGCAGTGCCAGAAATTACGGCGGTTTTTCGTCTCGCGACGATCATCGTCCCGCGCATATTCGCCTCGCCGTTATTACGAGCGATTAAGCGGCCGCGCCGCGAACGGTGGATTCCATTCGACGCGTTGGGTACTACATATTGCGCGTTAAAAGAGTAACCGAGCCAAGCGTGTGTATTCGCTCGAGTGGCAGCCTCTTAAAGAGCTCCTTCCGACGTTCCCTTTTTCCAGCAAACGAATTACGGCCTCAACAGCCTTGATTTAGCGTCCTAATCTTTCTCCCCGGCGATGACTTACGGCCGCAACAAGGGCTAACGCTCTCGCGACTCGACTCTTTCGCCCGGTAATTATTGCGGAACAGATGTTTGAAACGAGTGTGGCTCAATCTCGACGCAACTAGCCACATCTCTGCGGATTATCTCCTAGTTTTCTTTAGTAGACTTTCTCTCGATCGTATCTTCGTTCAGATTGCTTGTTAACGAATTTGCGCATTCCCCGCACGATTGAAAATAATCGTGTCTTCTATTATCATCAGTCCAGGATCGTGGCGGGTCGCTTTGTTAAGTGCATTACGTCGGGTCTCGTATCCAACCGTTTGTAAATTCTTCTACTTGACAATTATCTCTACTACCGTGTAATATCTCCGACCACTTAGACGCGTTAAGTGGAAGTAAATCAAGCCGCAGCCAAACATGAGTACCGAGCCCGACTGTCCCATGAATTTATTGGTGCGAAAGCGAGTGCGACGTCGTTTTCATCGGGAATTCCGGATCGCAGACGGGCACCGGTCACGTCGGCGACGTTCCACTCCGTTGAAACATTTCGGAAGTGTAGCCAAGGAATCCACCACGTCGCGCCAATAACCCGTCCCGGTTCGAGGGAAGCGAAGCCAATCCGCGAGTCGGGTTCGCGTAGAAAAAGGGACGAGCGAAGCGGGCTGGGAAACGAGCACGACGGATCGTTTGCGGTTGTAGTTAACGCACGCCCATAGATAGACGGCCACGATCGAATAAGGAACGGAGCGGTCAGCCTCGGATGGAACCGCGCCGCGGTCGCAGACGAGGAAAAGGGAAAAACTGGCTGCTGGGTTTCGGGCGACGCGACGTTTTAGATCAAAGGAGACGAATACGTTGCAAAGAAAACGGCACGCTCGCGGCGTGGCGAGATCTACGGTCCGGGATATAAATTAAATTAATTTGATGGAGGCGGAGTACGCGAGGCACTGTCGGGTCTCTTCTTCCACGTGTCAGGGTGTACTGCGAAAACGCTCTAGGAATGTCGCCTCTCGTGATTCTCAGAGACGTCGCGTGAAAATTCGCCGGGAAAGTCACGGTCATCGGTGAAAGTCCCGTCTAGTCCCGGGGACGTATAAGCGGCGCGAGATCAGTGATTTATTTGTCCACCGGTTGCCGCTGGAAACATGAATAATTTAGACGTCGTCGCTGTTAGAAGGGGCCTCGACGTTAATTCGATACAAGGATGTTCAAACAGCGGCCGGGGTACGAAATCGTTTCGGCTATTCACGAGAGACGCCTTTCTCCGGTCGGTGCTTCCTTGTTCGCTAGTTCTCACCGCAGCCCTCTCTCACTCACTCACTCACTCTCTCTCTCTCTCTCTCTATCTCTCTCTCTCTCTTTGGCTGTCATTTTGAAAGCCATCCCGACGGCCGCCCCTCACCAGGCCGTCGGTTCGGTACGTCTGTCCGAGCAGCCAGCGTACCAACCGACCGACCGCGCAACCAACCAACTCTGCGACCCTCCCCAAGTTTAATTAGACGGAAGAGGAGCATACATCATGGTCGACTCCGTGTCCCGACCTTCCACGCTAGCCAAGTTGGGCTTTCCAGAATTGTGGCCACCGACCTACTACCACTCTAACTCTGTTCGTTCCTTCCTCCCTGTCCGCGGTACACTTGGTGAACGATGTTTCAAACGGGCAGAATCGTCTCCACGAATCGTCCTCCTTTCACGATTCTCTGCCCTCGTATGCATTTACTTTAGCTGTCACAACTATTATCTAATTTAGTGGAAACAGACACGAAATTCAGTGCATCGAGATTTTTAAAAAACTCGTTAATTAAACTTGGATTAAATTACATTTTTATTGAATTAGGATGCTGAGGAATTAATAAAATTTCAATATTGTAATAACAATCGTCCCTGACGATCGGGCGATTATCCGGAACTGCCGGGGGGCAGGAAGAGTAGAAAGATTGAAGATGAAGTCGACATATATAATCCATTTTAATTTACTCGGAAGATATATCCGTCTAGCTTGCTCCGATCTTCCATTTTCCATCTCCGCCTTTTGCCCGCTGGTTTCTTCTTCGGCGTTGCCTTATCCCCTGACACCGCGGCACACTCTCCTTATATCAATGGAAGCATTTCGTGAAATTACATTCGCCAGTTTCTCCGTTTCGCGTATCGAAAGCGGCGCCCTCGGATTGTCCCCTTTCTCCTTGGCCGAAATAAATTTTGCCACTGCCAGAAACGAGCTGATTCCGTATCGAATCCTTTCACAAATCCGCGAACGCTTAACCCTCTGTCTGTCCTTTCCTCGACTCAATTCGTCATTATAATACATATAATAGTATCAGAGAATGTCATATAATTTTTCTGTGCTTTATCTCATTCTCCTATACGTTACGTTATTATTATATCAACCTTTACTGACATCGTAACATTTCCAATGAGACGTTCTTAAAATACAAGGGTGTTCAATGAATGTTTCGGACGGGAAATCTTAATTGAATCGAGCGGGCGTAGTTTTGCAAAACTCAAAGGGAAAGGTGAATTCGATTGAGAGGCGATTCTTATTCGTGTTGTAACAGCAGAACATAGTCGAGGCAATCAATAAGCCATCTAAGGCAGGTAATGCCGCTATGGTACAAACCGCGTAGCGGCAATGCCATTAGCTGCACGTACAGACACGGACACAGTGATCCATACACGGACAGAGGACACGGATATTCACGATCGTAAACGTGCACGGCGCGGAGCACGGGCCGCGAGGGATGCAAGCGCAGTTTCATCAAGATCGATAATGAACCGCGTTTCATTTAGCGTATTGCGTGCTGCCATTCCAGTATATCTTGCCGCGATCTTTAATTCATCCGTATCGCGCCCGTTGATCGGGATCGGGACACAGCGTGAAGCTGCGAACAAAAACCGGCGATCGATCTGACACGTGGCCGGCATTCTTCCACGTTCGACTTTCCTTCTCTCTCTCTCTGTTTCTCTTTCTGGTTGGCTGTAAAACGCCATAATCGTTGCCGCGGCGTGCCGTTCTTCTACCGTCAATAGAATTGCAAATCCATTATTTCCGCGTGCGATCGCATTTCCCTTGTCACGGCATGAAACCGATCTTTCAATCTCCCTCGATCCCTTATAACGTCAAGATTTCAGATTTTTATTTATTCTATTTTTGGAATACATTTAATAGTTTAATCATTCTAGTTTATTATAGAAATTTGTTATTCGTATAGAAATTATGTATAGAATTACAGTGACAAATTTTGCTTGTACGTCGTTTATCACTTTATTCGTGGGGGACGTTTTAAACGAGAAAAACTTGCCGAGGAAAAGATCATTCGTTGAAATCGGATGGGGTGAATACGTCGATCGCGGTTCGCAGGATTCCACCCCATCGTAGACGGTTGTCGACGAGTCTCGCGGCGTGGTAGTTTCCACGGAACGACGCCAAGGCGAGATACGTGGGACGGGGAGGGAACGGCCTTAGCCCGGATATTTTAAACAATT